AGAAATCGGTTAACGTGGTCCAAAGTTATGCGATAACATACATACATAAAAAAAAATATTCCGACGAGTTGATAACCTTCCGCTTTTTTTTTAAAGTCGGTTAAAAAAACAGATTTAAATACTAAGTAGTCCAAGTGCGCCTCTATTTATCATAGTTAGTTAACTTAACGTAAACTATAAGGATCACCCTAATATACATACAATCGTACCTAGTGACCCTATATTGTTGCGCATCTTAAACTCCACTTAAATGACTCATCCATATCTGAGAACATTTTAATTGTTTTGAGCGACAAAGTAAACATCTCGCTGAGCGTAACTCAAAACTGTTTTCATTTTACAAATTATGCAAATAAAATTCGAGAAAAATAGAATAGTAGAACATCATGCATAAGATCAGTAAATGCCTTAATATACATATGCACATTAGGGTGTATCACTCGCCATACAAAAAAGACTGTTTTTCCATCGGAAATATAAAAATTTATAGGATTTTAAGACTTCCGCAAAAATATTTCGGAAAATATTAAGATTTACGTGGGCTGGACCGATTTGAAAATATCTCTAAAATCAAGCCTTTTATATCTTAAGAAAAGTGTTTAAAAATTTTTTACTAAAAATTACCTCAGATTATAGAAGAGTTTAAGCATAAACGATATGCATAAAGAAATTTAAAAATTTTATCAACGGAATCAAAAAAAATAGAGTTTTGAAGGTCGGAAAGTATTTTCAAATCGGTACAACTGACATACATCTTAATATTTTTCCGAAATATTTTGGCGGAAGTCTTAAAATATAATAAATTTTATAATTCCAATAGAAAAACCGCAACTTTTTTTTGGGTGATGCACCTTGATGTACTTACATATAAGTTTATTTGTGTATTTTTAAGCCTAGGAGTATTTGTAAGAGAAGAAATTATGAATCAGTAGAGAACCAGCTGTTGAAGAGGAAAGACGCGATTTGGGAACAACTAAAAAAAAAAAAATTAAACAAATAAATGGACAACGAACAACAACGGCAGTTAAAGCGGGTCAGCGAAGATTTAAAATAAGAAAAGTGATCAAAGCTGGTGTAAACAAACAAAATGAAATCGTTAAAATTGATATTTGCGCTTGGTAAGCTTTCTTCGAAATTGTTTTGTATGCTTTTCTCTAAAGAATACAGTTAATTATTTATTTTTTCTTCAATAACTACTTTT